AAAAAAAAAAAAAAAAAAAAAAGCAGAAGAGTGGTTTTCGGTGGGAAGGTGAGAATTGATCGAAAGGAGACATGTGAGAACTTTTTTTTGCCATAATTTTATTGAGAGACAAATAGCAATGAGACAGTTTCAAATCAAATTGGTACAACAGTTTCAATAATTAACACATTGCATACATTCTTCCTAGTGGTTATTTGCTGTACAAGATGCAGACATGATATCCTATTTCAAACACAATTAGAACAAATCCCTCTATTCATTAAGAGAATGTAACTATATATCTATCCTAATCATTTTGAATACACAGATACAAAATGGACATTCATCTGTATCCCCTTTTTTGTTTAGTTCTATCATTTGAATATTATAGGTGTGTTGACTCAGCAAAATATTTTAAGAGAGTCCAGATGAGAGAACTTTCTAGAGTGATGGAAGTGTTCTGTAGGACTGGCCAGATAACTCAGTGAATTAAAGGGCCTGCTTAGGCAGACACAGGGTCCGGGGTTGGATCCCGGGCCTGCCTTGTCGGCCCCACCCCCAGGACCCACTAAGACTGCGAATGAGACTGGACGTGGTGGCCTGTGCCAGTAATCCCAGTGGTTTGGAAGCTGAAAAACAGGAAGGATCACTGCAAGTTCCATCTGTGTAGTGAGAACCTGTACTAAATACATGAAATAAAGAGAAATATTCTGGTTTTTTTTTTATTGAGGCATTTTTGTTTCATGAATGTATACATTTGTCAAAACTTATCAGATTGTACCCTTAATGCATATGCATTTCACTCTATGTAAATTTTTTTGCAATTTCTAAATCTCTAAGGTAATGTTACCTTGGGGTCATACAGTGATAAACTCTTTAAGCCAGGTTAATGAATTTCGACTATGCAATAGACCTTCAACAGACTTTTTAATTTTGTATTTTGTGTATTTTGGGGAAAGGTCTACACGGTGTTCAGGGCCTCATTACTAGATCGGATTCATAGTGATTCTCCTATTTACAGCCTCCCAAGTGCTGGGATTACAGGCGCGCACCACCACACCCAGACTCAACTGCCACTTCCGCAGGCCCCTGGGGGGCGGGGCCCGCAAAGCAAGCCAGGGGATCAAACCCCTGGCCCCTGCCGTTGCTTGCAGGTGCTTTAATCCGCCAAGCTATTTGGCCAGTCCTAACAGAGATTTTTTTTTAAACCAGAGCCTGAATATATTTATTTTGAAGGAATATATTTTTGAGAAAAGTGTAAAAGACAGATTGGAGAGGGGAGTATCTGGAGGCTATTGCAAGGCCAGGCAAGAAATGACGATGCATGAAACTAGGGCACTGTAAGTGGGTGAGAGGGAGGTGACTGATGGGAGAAATATCATAGAATTAAAATCATCGGAAATATATGGTGAGCTTAAAGAGAGATAAAGAGGAGTTGAAGATGACTTGTCATTTGCCAAGGTAAAAATCAGAGATGTGTTTTTAAATCTTTATTTTATTTCTTTATTTCTTTTTTAAAAAGAGGTTGCTACAATGTTGAGGAGGCAGAAAAATAGGTCAGATTGATTAAGTCAGATTGACTATAGGTCATCCATGCAGTGTTTTCCAACAGCACTTGGAGGTATGGATATGGAACACAGGAGAAAGACCAGGGTTAAAATATTTGAACTGGCATCAAGTATGAAAAGGTCCTTTAAAAACTTCTCCAAATACAGCTTCTCTAACAATGATGGAGCACCCATCTCTGACAAAACAAAACAAAAAAGGGGATATAAATAAAGGACCATTTGGTAGTGAAAAAAATATGTATATACAAAATAGATGTACAGCTACCTTTTATTAGTTCAATGAGAATAAAGGTTTGTACTAATATTGTTTAGACAAGATGTCATGCTTGCATCTTGTCCTCTGAATAACTACTACAAAGACAACAATATGCAATGTATTAATTATTGTAACGGTCCTACTAACTTGTTTTGAAATTGTTTCATTGCTATTTTTTCTCATTAAACTGAATAAAAAACTTAAAAAAAGAACTAGAAATAAAGATTATGTGGTCTGAGAAATGAAAAGAATAGGAAAAGAGAAGAGAGATAAGATAGAGCCATATAAGGGATCTGAGATCAGAAGGTTTGCACCAAGCTGGAATTTCATAGAAAATATGTAAAGCTTTAAAACACTAAAAATATGGCCTTCTCACATTTGCAAACCTTAAGTGCCCTGATATCACAATCCCATAAATTTCTACCATTTTCCTCCCTACCACTACTAAGACATAAAAAAGACAAAGGAGAATATGTTTAGAACTAATTAATGCCAAATCTTATCATGCTTTCACAATCCGCTTTTGAATTAATGGAGTCCAATGGGAGTTATAATAAAGGGCAGTGGAAATAACAGGTTTAACCAGCTTTGAGAGCCTGGACCTGAAAGTTGTATAATAAGGGAAAGGTAACATTCTGTGACTCTTACTTAGAGACATCTTATTAGTTATTTGAGTGTCAGATGATACCCAACATGAAATTCATGTTTCTCTTTGTACTGACTATGGCAGCAGGTGATTGTGTGTTGTGAAAGTGACACTCCTTGTGGCAAAGGTTGAATGTGTCTCCCAATTATATGAGTCTTTCCAGTAACTCCCTTGCCCACTGATTTAGACTAAGAAAGCACCCAAACTACATGGCCTGTGGCATAGCTAACAGGTAAAACCAGGATAAAAGAACAAGTGAAGCTTAAAGAGAAGAGATGAGGAATATAAAGAAGAATAACCAATGCTAAGAAAGGGTACCAATAAAAATGATTCTCAACAATATTCAATGCTGCCACGAGTTCAGTAGGATGAATACTTGGAATTGGCTGTTAGATTTGGAAATTATGGTATTGTTGGAAATAATAACCATTTTCCATAGTTAATGAAAAACAGATTTCAATTAGCTGAAGAGTAGAAGGATAGATGCCATGTAGGAAGAATTCTTTATTTTTATTTTTTTTGTGGAACCCAGGATTGAACTAGGTCCTTTTGCTGGCCAGGGAAGTGCTTATTCCACTGAGCCATCTCCCCAGCCCCTCTAAGAATTCTCTAGGAAATGAAAATTTAATCATGTGTAATGGGTAAGAGACAGGATCAAGTGCAAAATAAAGAAAAAACTAAAGAAAGGAAAAAATAGAAACAAAGAAAGGAGGGAGCTGGAGAAAGAAACTGAAAACTGATGTGCAGCCCATTTCCAATATCCCCACTACATCATTCATGGATCAAAAGAAAGGGAATGTCCCTTCCTTGGCAAGTGTTTCAACCTCCTTACCTTCATTTTTTTTCACTCCAGGGTCTCTTTACATCTTCCTGCTGTTCACATACCGAGTGGTCCACATATACCCTCAGACTGAACATATTCAGAAATCAACAGTTCATTTTCCCTCAAATTTACCATTTCTCCTGTTTTTACATTTCTCCAGCTATTCACATTTTCTTCCTTACACTGGTAAATAAGGTTTTACATCTGCATGTGTTATTACAAGAATAACCATGTTGAATGTGAAAATACAAGATCTGAGTTTGATATAAGCATTCCATGGCTTCTAGGGTCCAGGGCTTCTGATTCACCCACCAGGCCTCTATCTACTTCCAAAGACTCAGCTTTCAACAGCAGGGGTCCTAAATCCACTTCCTTGTAGTTTCACAACCTACGAATACCACAGCTTGCCTCTTTTCCAGAAGCTAGCATCTACCTTGTTGACTCACCCTCTCTTAAAAGTATAATCCATCTAGATTTCATCTCGTGTCTTAGAAAGTTGATTTCCTACCTCATCCACTGGTGGAATTAACAAAAGAATTATGGATCACTAAGTCCACATATATCTTAACTGTATTATCCTTGGTTAAGTGCCAACATCTGAGGCCTCAAGTGTTTTTACCATGCTCTACCATGTTCACATTTCCAAAATATTCTCTACCCTCTCAACCTCATTCAGTCTCTCACTGATCCTTACACTCTGAACCCTTTCCCATGATCCCTAAAGTGCTTCCTTTCTGTACTTGCAACTTTCCTATGTTCACAGCCACTTATGGGAAATTCCCCCCTCCTAACAAAATTGAGAACTCTGATTCTCCCCCAAGTTTCAGATTCAATTAAAGCCATCTCAAATGGTGGCAACTCTTTCCTCTGTACCTCTTCAGGTTCCCCTGCTGCTATCAGGACATCGATCTGCTACTTTGAGAAAAACACCTCAATGACGTTCATGCCATTGGCTAATAATGAAAGATTGAAATCTGGCATTGTTTTCCATTAGTCTATGTGCTCATTTATTTTCCATAGAATATAACTTTTCGCAAGGACTCTTTATATGTATTTAAAGTTCTAAGGAAACCTGCTTTTATAATAGTTAAGTAATTAAATCTAAGTCAGTTTGGTCAAAACAAACTAAGCTTAATTATCCCAAAGATGATTAATAAATTCAACTGCCAGTGGTTATTCAGTGTTAAATATGGACTTCAATGTTCATAGCAATTCAACCTCCATGGTTCACAATTTTAAGAGAAAAAAATTAATTCCTACACAAACATCTTAACAAATGTAGTTTATGATAACAAACATTGACAATGTCAAGGTTATAGGTGAACAGTTCTTAGAATTATTTTTAAAAATCTCTCAATGCTGTAAAG